AAAGAGAGGCAGGTCGGTTTGACATCATCTGACAAATCATCCCTCTCACTTGCTAAAAAGTTAGGCCTGGACAAAAGAAGTATACAGTTAGTTAGAGTAGGGTCTGCACTGTGGAAAAGTTAAAACTTACCAGCTCAACTGGACAATTTTTCCCGGAGTCTTTTTTGCCACATAGGGTCAAAAACGCACCCTTTTTGAGCACACGTGAGTAGCAGATGAGCACATTTATTAGAATTTCTTGTGCAATCAACTTCGTTAAAGCGTTTGTGCATCATCGATCAGTCACTGCTAAGGTGTCCTACCATTTCAGCACAAGACTGGTGCAGCCCCGTCTCGACTGATTTAACTAGGGCCACCTTTTTGACGACGATTGCGGGCATCACTTCAAAGACTTCACTGTCTTTTGAGAAAACTGTGAAAAACCGATGAGCATTTTAAATGGTAGTATTCCCTCCAACAAATGCAATGTTGGTTTGGTGGGCGGAAGTTGTAGCTCTCAGCAAGAATTTTGAAGCATTTGGTACACACATGCGAATTTGCACACTGGACCCAGGAATTTTCAAAAAAAAAGTATAAAAATTGGGGGAAAGTTAAATTGTGAACCAACAATAGAAAACAATAAGCAACATATTTCGCAGTATTAATGAGCAAAAAGGACTTTCTGAGATATTGATTTTCCATAGTAATCGGCCCCAAAACTTCCTGAACTCAGAAAAGCGACACTAAGATATCCGGTACCTAATATACATTGACGAAGGACTTCTATTATTTTTGAAAAGAAGTAAGTCAAGGACGCGGGTACACGCGGGTACGGTCCCCGGATTGTAAAGGGAGGTCGGAAATAATTGTATTGATGGAAGTGTCAGCACTAATTGTAAGTTGTTGAAGTCGTAGTCAGTATGTTGAACACATCTGGATCACATCGGAGACACGTTGGATGGTAACTGTGATGTGTGGGGTGTTTGCTGTGGTTTGAATAGCTTCAAGCAGGGTACTTTGTAAGTGGTATAGGTGTGTTAGGTTAACACATGATCTCAATAAGTACACAGAGCTATTCCTTAACAGATTTTTTTTTGCAATTCATCACATATAGCATTTAGCTTTTCCACTGGATTGGAAAGGAAGTGGAAGTTCTGAAGACGTTGTGCGATTATCGTTCATCCTCTAGTGATAGTTCCATGCTGAGTGAAGCACCAGAAACGGAACCTTCGTCGGAGTAAGTGTACATAGGAAGACTACTCTAAAATTCACTATTCTTTCTAGTTGTATGTACATACACCTCGAGCTGGAATAAGCATAGAAAGCAAATCGTTGACAGAATCTGGCTGCTGGAGCCGCAAGATGAATCATTCACTATTACCAAGTCGGTATCATTAGAAAAGCCACAAGCCAGCAGAAGTAACAGTGGCAATCCAGACTCCCTTCATATTCCACACGGAGGAAATTCATTGACCTCGCTCCATCTCGGGATGTGCTTGGCTACTAAATATTTACGCATGGTTTACTGATCATATTTTAATGCGCTTGGGCCTTCACTTTTTTATGCTTGTTTCCATACAGAGCAATACGTAGAGTGCAACACTCACAAAAATATTTAGAATGGCCGTCTTTGGGTCTCTGGTATACAAACTGCTTCGTTGTACTCACCTTGGGAACCTTGAGCTCAGAACCGCATTCTATATATCTGCTAGAAAGCGCAGGCAGATGTCGAGCATTTTCGGTCCCTTGCAGTGTCGTTCTCTGTGCTCTTTTAACACCATTGGCGTAGGAAGGGTTTGACATCCTACTCGTATGCAACAAGTGCTTTTACTCGTCGGAATTGAGGATTCGCATGTAGTCTTCAGAACGCTTAGACACTATTCGCCCTTACCAGGAAGGTCTTTCAGGGCGTGCCAAGCTTTTTGAAAACGGTCTTTTGCATGATATAGGGGCAGATGCGGGAACCACAGAACCATGTTTAATTTTTCCTGAACGGCCCTCTGAATACCAGAAAAGGGGGTCCCTAGTTCGATTCCTCGTGGTGACAAATTTTTGCATTTCGAGTTGACGTTCCAAAATTCGCGCAAAATGGAGTTAGCATGAATAATTAGTACCATATTCATGATTAGGACCGTCAGTAACCCTTACAAATAGACTTTGATTAAAAACTGGTGAAAAAGGTGTGACACCACAGTGGGGCTGCTTGGTGTCACACCTCTTACACCAATTTTTAAGTCAAAGTCTCTTGTAAGAGGTTACTGACGGGCCTAATCATGCATATGGTACTAATTATTTCATGCTAACTCCATTTTGCGCGAATTTTGGAACGTCAACTCGAAATGCAAAAATTTGTCACCACGAGGAATCGAACTAGGGACCCCTTTTTGGTATTCAGAGGGCCGTTCAGGAAAAATTAACCATGGTTCTGTGGTTCCCGCATGTGCCCCTATATCATGCAAAAAACCGTTTCAAAAAGCTTGGCACGCCCTGACCTTCCTGGTTAGATGCAAATATCGCCCTGCGCACGGGTCAGGCTTTTTGCTGTCGTCAAATGTGACGTTTATGTTCAGGAAATGGTGAGGGAAGCTTCTAGGCCAAATGCTATGTTTCGAACCTTACTTCGAAAAAATAAAAAAAAAAAAAAAAAAGAAAAAAAATAAAAAAATATGCTGGGAACACTCCAGAAAAGAGTGGGTACACATCCAAGTGACCTTCAGTCGATCACATTGTTCATTAAATGTCTTCGAAGCATCAGGGTGAAACAAGCATTCGATCATGATTCTAAAAGCGAAATCAGGATCTGTCTCACGTTTTATCCTTGCAGAAAACATGGTCCTCATGCATCTACTAGCACCGATAGTTCTAAAGTCGTGGAAAAGGAAAATGCAGCCGCAGAGAAGTGGAAGTGGTTAACATGCAATCAGAATCTGCTGAGGTATCCTTTGCAAATTTGTTTTGGGATCTTATTACATTTCATTTCCTGAATTTTTGTTTTATTTTTTATTTTTTGGGAGAAGGCTAGTAAGTGCGTGGTAATTTAGTTGAGCTTTTTTTTCAATAGCGACCACTTTCCATAAGTGGAATTTGAGAATCTAGCCTTTCATTTACAAATGATGCCCAGCCTCTCACTGTTATTTTCTCTGAGTAACCTTGCTTCCGACTCGAAGTTTACTGCGATGCTCTCATCTAAAGTATTAAATCGAATCAAGCATTAGCTTTCCCAACTACCAGTGGTCTTTTGGAAGTGTTTCTTTTCAAATGGATGTCCGAAAGTCTAGATGAAAGCATGTTCAGGTCATTTACCTCCTTCTGTGCACTTCATTCTGCTCAAAATCACCGGCTTACTTCTGCGCTTATGGAACTGCTTCTACTTCTACTGGAGTCACAGAAGGACATGAATGTCAAGCCTCCGACTGGTAAGTTCTTGGGATATCTTTTACAATTTTCTTTCATACCCCGAAAATATTCCTTCAGGTTTCGAGCATAATTCATTCCCTCTCTTCATTGCATCGATATCAACTTCAAGGATGTTCGTGTCATCTCCTTTATCATTTATCCAAAACCAGTGCTACGACCTACTCACTTCCATTACGGATTTGGCGACTGTACCTGATCTGGGAAACCATTTGCAAAAGGTGAAGCCATTTGAACTTTTCAAATTCTCAACTCCCAGAGGTAGTGCTCAAATTTCAATTGGTTTAGGCGTACAAGCTGTACAATCTCAGTCAGGGTCTTTCATCCAGTTTATACCAGTCGCTATGCGGTATGATGAGTCTTGTAACGGCATTGGAACTTCTGGGGTACAGCATACGATACAGAGGTTAGCACCTATTATTATTTGATACCACCTTGGATAGTTAAAATTTAGGGGCAGTTCAGCTGAGGCCGATGTCAATAGTTTTGCGAATCAAACGTTGCAGCGAATCGACCGATGCACCAGCGAGTCGAACGATGTACCAGCGACTCAATAGTGGCGGGACCCAACGTTCAAAGGAAGCCCGCCACTTTCGAACAGTGTCACGTGACAGTGGACCTTTTTGAAAGTGGCGGGACTTGACAGTGGACACTGTTTGAAAGTGGCGGGCTTTCCTTTGAACGTTGGGTCCCGCCACTATTGAGTCGCTGGTACATCGTTCGACTCGCTGGTACAAGTTCGATTCGCTGGCGCAACGCTCGGATCCAGCGATTCGCTAGCGAATCGCTCGATTCGCAAACTATGACATCGGCCTATGCCGGATTGATTGAACAATTCGGAAATTTGCCTATTGCTCATATTTATTTCAAAGGCGCTTTCCGTAATCATGTAGGGGTTGTTACCGCGGTCTCGCATGAAATAGAGTGTAAAGTGGACCGCCAGCGAAGAAAAATCAAAAGGAAGCGTTGAATGTGCGAAATAAAACTTATTTTTCGGAATGATAGGTACTAGGAGACGAGCGACCGAAACGAACAGACGCATGACGAGAAAATATGCATTGATGCGCTTATGAAGTTGCGAACGCGAGAAGCCAACGCGTTAGCAATTTTAGTAATGCATCAGTGCAGATCGGCCAGTATGGTATGTGCCAGCATTTCGAGTCTCGGAATGGCGTAACCTTTACACCTGTGGACCCATCTACCTAATTCACAAATTTGGTGGTACCTCTAACAAGGAAGGTCTTTCAGGACATGGAGCGCTTTTTCGAAATGGTTTTCTGCATGTTGTAGGGGCTCATGCGAGGAACACAGAACCATGATCCATTTTTCCTGAACGCCTCCAGGAATGTCAAAACAGTGGTGAAGAAATGGTCCAGAGTTCGATCCCCGGTGATGACTAATTTTTGCAATATAGTTTGGCGCCCCCAGATTGCCGCCAAATGGCGCCATCGTCGAGAATAGATGTCATTGTCGTGTTTTGCGGCAATTTGGAGGCGCCAACATAAATTGCAAAAATTTGTCATCACGGAGGATCGAACTTTGGACCATTTCTTCCCCGCTGTTTTGACATTCCTGGGGCGTTCAGGAAAAATGGACCATGGTTCTGTGTTCCTCACATGAGCCTCTACAACATTCAGGGAAACCATTTTGAAAAAACGCTCCATGTCCTGAAAGACCCCTTTGTA